GCCGAAGGCAGACGCTTAACCAACTGAGCCACCCAGGCGCCTATAGTACTGACTTCTTAAACAAGACTTTCAAACACTCCTCCACTCTTCATCCCTACTCTTTATTCCTACCTTCAAAGGTTGTATCTTTAATCGGCACCTCAAATTTCTGAGCCTTTCTACAGTTTCTCAGGGTAAACGGACTTTCTTCTTGTTGGCTCCTTCTTCTGCAGGATTCAGAATTCAGTAATATCTACTCTGTAAGGTCAGTCAATGCTCAACTAGCCATTTTCCATGTTCCAAGAATTTGTCACCTCTCTCCTCTCTTCATCTGTTCCCCTAACTTGTCCTTGGGTATTTGTGCTCTTTTAGATTCACTTACTGTTATTTTAAGTGGTTGCAGAAAGGAGTGGAGAAAAATAGGCCTGTTCAATATTCCATGCTGAACCAAAAGTCTTACTTGTTTATTTGTATGCATCCCAGCTTAGCATTAATATTTACTTATAGGCTACAACAATTATCTATTCCAGTGACCTATTTTCATGTTATTGCTTTTGTTCTTACTGAATTTTCTGGTCTCAATAAAAAGAGGAAAACTGCCACTGGAAAAGGCAATGGCATGTATCCCTAAAATATACACATCATCATCCTTTCCCATCATCACCATCGTCATCATACTTACTGAGTTCTAGCTATGTCCCAGGCAATGGGATGAAAACATTTAACTTTTATCATTGAATAGGTACTATCACGATCCCCATTTTACAAAGATTGAAAAACCAAGCCTCAGAAAGATTGAATCAGTGGCATGAAATCACGGACATAGTAAATGGCAGAAAAGGACTTGAACCTCAGTGGTTGGTGTCTAGACAGTTTCTGTAAGTGTGAAGGAGAAGTTGTTCTGATGAAAGAAGGCTTATAGATCACCCAGTCCAAAGTCATTTGGTATCCACACTTAGAGTGACCAGATTGGTTCAGCTGTGTGAATGGAGGCTCAGCATGGACTCAGCTCCAGTCTCTTGAGTCAGGTAGCAAATTCCAGCTACACAACCAACAGATGGTGAACTCAACCTAAAATTGCCAGTACTCCTGCAATTTGCCTAGAACTTTTCTCCTTCTACATCTAATAGCACAGAAACCTTGTTGATCTTATTTACTCCTTGATAGAGGTAAGGGAGTATATCAATGTCTGGGATAGAGCCTGGCACATAATAGGTGCTCAGTAAATATTTGTTGAATGAACAGGCATTCTTTCTCTGGAGTCAAAAGCCATATGGAAATTATGGAGTTCCTTTCAGATGGCATAAACAGAGATAACCAGCGATGGGTGGGAGCATGGGGAGTGAGGCTTGAAAGCCAGCCTGGGCTCTACTTTCTAAGCCATGTGCCCTGGTGCAGGGCTGCATCTGCGAGGAGAAGGGATGCCATTTTCAAATTCCCATGGAAATGTGATATGGGCTAGAAGTGGCCCAGTCTGGGGAGAAGTTCTTGAGATATGCATCCCTGAAATTGAGTACAGGTTAAGTGCACTTTCAATACACAGAGAAGCCAAGATTTCCGTGTTTCTGCCACTGGCAACGCTTGACCCACCAAAGTTCCAATAGGACAAAGCCATGTTGTACCGATTCTCGTCTGCAGGGCACTGACTGCCTCACAACCCCCAGGACTTCCCTACCTCTGCATAGGGTGGTGGAAAGATCATAGACGCCCACAGCTTGAGGAACGTTCTTCTCAAATGTGTATTTTTTTGAAGTCGTTTTCTTATTTGCCAACATCTCCTCCAACTTGGTAATTTCTAGAAGTCTTCTCTGGCTTGGTTTAATAAGTAAAGGTCTCACTGTTTTGAGATCGCTGGGAACTAGTTATTTTGAGCCTTATCAATATTTTCCATACAGTCATGTTTATATCACTTTGCATTACCTTACAGTGTTTCTTGATTGGGGTGTTGTTGATGTTTGGGGTAGGTCAGGTCTGCACTGGGGGACAGACTCCAGCACTACAGGATGTTAGTCCTCTTTGCCCTTTCCAACAAATACCAGTAAGGCCCCAAATCACTGTGACACCACAGATGCTCCCCATCATTTTGTAATGCCTCCGTGGGGACTGGTGCCACACCCAGCAACAGTGTGCCTGGCTGTACCACGAATTACAGGTAAGTCAGACTTGAAAAGAGCCAGACCCCACAAGACATCATAGGCAAGGCACACAGAGGCAGAGTTGGTCCGCCCCCTTCCTCCTACACACCTTCCTCTTCCTCTTTATTCTTTGGACTCTGGAGTCTTTATCATGAAACGTGTCAAGCCCAGATCCGCACGGTTTCAGTGGGAAAACACCTTAGAGGGTGCACGATGGGAGAGAGTGTGGGAAGCTCTTCAGAATTTGGGTTTCACTTATTTGATGTTCTGTTTGTTTTCATATGTGGCTTATGTTGTTTCCAGGCTCCAAATCAATCCATCTGTGCAACGATTATTGCATGTACCTAGCACAATGCTGGGAGCTGGACATGCCTTATCCTGTACCATCCTTATAACAGTTTTGCTCAACTTAAAATGTTTTTCACATTCCCATTCTCTAGATGAAGAAACCAAGGCTTTAAGAAGGTGTGAAACTTGCGTCTAGTCAACTTTCCAAGTCCAGTGTCTGTGTTCTGGTGTGAGAGTGGTGTCTTGCTATAAAACTATTGGAAAAGTCTTGAGGGAGGAAATGGGGGGGGGGGGATAAGAAAAAGAGGTTTCCATTCAAAGCATGTACCAGTCTTATCCCCCTGGACACACCAAGTGGCATCATTAGTATCCAGCCTGTCACCACGAGCTGGAGTGTTAGCTCATCTCAGATCAGTGAAGGAAAAAGCCTTTGCAGGCAGTTTTATAATTGGCGCTGGGAAAAAGGGCAAAGTGGCTGCTGATTCATTAATAAATCAGGATAGTGTGTGAGCACCAATTCCAGCCAGAGTGTCTGCTACTGCCTGGAGAAAAACTCAAGACTGGTATTTCTGGTGAGGAAGGAAGAGAGCAAACTGGCTGGCTGGTCCTAAGGAACCTGATACCACAGTTTTCCTGGCTCCAGTCTGGGGAAAAAGGCAGCAGAAGTGAGGCAGACATCATGATCCATTAACACCATTCATTCATTCACACATGCATTCATTTCGTGTATTTATGGAGTATCTGCCACCTGCCAGATTCTCTTCTAGGTGCCGAAGATACAGCAACAAACAACACCCACAAATACTCCTACCCTCATAGGGCTTATACTCTAAGGAGGGGGCACAGAGAGTAAGCATATTAATAAAACAGTATGTCACGTGAAGAGGAGTGCTCTGGGCAGAAAACAGCAAGGAAAGGGGAATAGAGCTTGTGGGATTTTGATTTTAAACCTCTATCAGGGAAGGCCTCAGGAAGTGACATTTGAGTAAAGATCTAATAATAACATCATACTGAACGCTGTTCCAAGCATTTTACAATCATCTCATTAATCCAGCAACCTCAGTAAATTATGGCTACGATTATTCCCATTTTACAGACAAAAAGACTGAAGTTAAGAGAGATGCAGTGATTTCCAGAGATCATACAGCTAGTCTGTGGTCGGAACTAGGGTTTGAACCCAGGCAGTCGGAAGGGAAGTGGCGGCACGCTTGAATGTTGATACGGAGAGGGGACAAACGGGGGTTGGGGAAGAGAGGTTGCGCGTGCAAATGAGGTCTTTGTGTGCACCCACGAAGCGAATACGGTGCCCCCCGTGGGCAGGTGTGGGCGGACTTGAATGGGGGAAGGGGGCGGTGACTCTCAATCTTCCCTGAGCTGCATCCGACTCTCTCGGTCTGCGATTGGGGAGGTAGATCGCTGCCAAGGGTTGTCCCGGGACAGTGCCGGGCGGAACCTTACCCGCTGCCACCCGCGGGCCAGCTGCTCCAGTCAATAAGGCAGGGCCTCGTGGGCGCTCGCCGCCCTCCTGGTGGGGTTCGCCCGGGAGTTCCTACCCGGGCTGAAAGGGGCCGCGGAGCCGAACGAACTCTGGGAGGACAGACTGGAACACCAGCAGCCGAGGCGCGTGGTTTGGGAGGCGGACGCGCTAAGGGCGCACGGTGTGGCCAGTGCATTACCGAGAGCGCCCTCGGCGCGGGACTGAGCGATGGAGGGGAGCCTGGGAGCCCTTGGGGGCTGCCAAGAAAGGCAGAGATAGGGCCTGCGCGCAGCAAATGAGGGAAGAACTACGACATGCTGGGGCAGAAAGAGTAAAAGGTCAGGGCTCACGTTGCAGGTGAGAGGGGCAAAAGGGGCGCTCCAGAAAAGCCTGGAGAGCGAGAGGGCGCGCTGGAAAGAGGGGGCCAAAGGGGTGCCAGAGAGTGCCAAGGAGAGGGAGCTGGCGTAGAAAGAGTAAGAAGGAGCTGTTGCCCCGGAGAGGGGGTGCCTAAGAAGGCATGGGACCAGGATCAAGGAGAGGGCGTCGGAAATCGCTTGGGGACCCCCAGGAAGTGGCCGGGGCGAAGCGCTGGTCTCAGTAGAGCAAAGACTGCATGCTAAAAGAGTGCCACGCGCTGGAGAGGGGGAGCCCCGGCGGGGCACAGAGGGGGGCCCTAGAACCCATGCACTTAGAGAACGGGCCGTGCTTTTTGCCTGCAAGGGTGGCACACTTTGAGGTTCTAGAAAAGCAGGTTGAGAAGAACCCGACCGGTGCCTACGAATGTCAGAGGAGGCAGGCAGGGAAAGAAGCCGCAGAGTCCACGGAGGAACTCTCCAGGTTGGACAGAGTGCACGATGGGCGATGGAAGGAGGTGGAAAGCCGGCCTGGGAGAGGTTGGATCAGGGCTCTGAGCGCTGCAGGCAGCACTGAGGAAGCGCCGGTGGTTGAGGACACAGTGCTGAGAGCCTGAGAAAAGTGAGGAGGAGGCGCAAAGGACCGAAAAGCCGGGATGTGCCGGGCAGTGCGTAAGGGAGCGGTGGAGAGCGCGCTGGGTGCCCAGCACTCTGGCAACGCCTCCCAGGTCTTCCCTCCCTGGCGGCTCCAGGTCCTCATTCACTCACCATGATGGAGAAGACGAAAGCCACGATGTTGATGGGGTACGCGGGGCAAAAACACGAGACGATGGCGAGCCACAAGTAGTTCTTGGGCATGGGCACGTCCTCCTCGGTCTTGTCATCCTCGGTGTTGGCCTCCGGACTGCTGTCCAGAGCCCTCTTGAAGTCCGAGCTGGGGTCGCACTGAGACATGGGCGAGGCCGGCGGGGCAGGGTGGGTGGAGGAGCGCAGGGTCCGCGCGGTGGGAGACTGAGGCCAACTGCTCGTGGCGAGGCTCTGAAAAGTCAGCGGCGCGGGACTCAAGGGAGACGTGACCTCACCTCTCCTGCATCCTCCGCTTGCACCCTCCCCGGCTGAGGGACCTGGGCCAAGAGCCTCCACACAAGAGGGAGGGAGGGAACGAGGGAGTGAGGGGAGGCGGCAGGGAGGAGGAGGGAGCCGTAAGAAACGGGACAGGCACTCCTGGAAGGACACACCCAGAGACCATCAGGCAGGCGCACAGACTCCCTCTAAGTCTGAAATAAAAGGAGGCTCAGGGCAGGGGAGAGTGAAGGTTCTTTACGTTGCAAACTGGCCAGCCTGCGGTCTCAAGATGACCAGCTCATCTTTTCAAGCGGCTGAATTTGAATACATTCCCTCCTGTAACAGAAGGCAACCCAACTCTGTGCAGGTGGCCACAGACTGACTACTTCCCTTTGACTAAGTTTGCTTTTTCCTGATCCGATCCCTTCTCAGACTTGGAACACAGAGCCCCAGTAATTTCTCTTCCCCGACAGGTGGGCAGGGAGCAAGGTGCTCAGCATTGGGCCCAACCCTTTGGGCACTGCACAGGGGTCCTCTGGAGAGCAAGCCTGAGAATAGCCAGCCAGTAGGGGCCAGTCTGGGTGCCATCCACTTTTTCCCAAGGGTACAAACAAGGAACCCTCTCCTCTCCACATTTCTACCTAGAGGGCCCCTGGAGGGAGAAGCAGGTACATCTGGCTGGTGTAGACAACCCAGGTGGATAATTGGGATGGGAAGAAGACAGAGGGGTCTACTTTGGCAACCAGCATGAGGAGAGCAATTGCATCATTATCTAAGCAATTCATGAGAGGGGGTTATGGACCGGAACTGAGGCTCCAAACCCAGACAGAGATGGGAAATTGTCCCATTTGAGTTGAATGACCTCAGGAAAGTCCCTTCACCTCACGGAGCTCCAGTTCCTTCATCTGAAAAAAGTGGATAATAGGAATCCCTTCCTCATAGGGATGTTGTGAACACTATAAAATTGCAGCTCAAAGCAGGTGAATCTAAGTGCTCTGTACATGTTAGTTTTTTTTATTAGGAAGCTATTCCCCCCCCAAATATAGTCATTATGCAGTATCTCAGACCCAATATCCCTTGGTGCATATATGTCACCCCAAATCCAGATATTGGAAGCTGGCAGGGCCACAGAGAAATAGAAGTAATTTTATTATGCATAGTTTCAAAAATAGTTGCTCACATCACAATGCAGCAAAAGTATTAAGCATCTGCTTGACTTTCTCAGAACATGAACCGATTATCTGGGATGCTCTCACTTCTCAAGGGGCCATACTGATTCTGATATCTGCCTCCCTCATTGGACTGCAGACTCTCTGAGAAAGGGGACCATCTTGCTCATCTTTGTATCAGCACCTGGTACAGTGCCCAGGACAAGGTCTGTGCTTAGTATGTGAATACATAAAGATGAAATAATGCTTTCTCCCCCATTTTGGTTGGTTAATCAAGTGGGAATAAAACAAAGAATCAGATCTATCGAGTTCTCAACCAAGTCTTTGCTTTGGCTGTTTTCTCTGCCTGGGATGCTGTTCTCTTGGACTGCCCCAGGGCTGTTCCTTCTTATTTCTCAGCTGTCAACTTAGTCACTTCCTCGGAGATCTTCTCTTTACATTATTTAGTGTAGATCCCCATAGTAATTACATTTCAGCAGCTTTTTATTTATTATTTTTTTAAATTAACATGTAATGTATTATTTGTTTTAGAGGTACAGGTCTGTGATTCATTAGTCTTACACAATTCACAGCGCTCACCGTAGCACATATCCTCCCCAGTGTCCATCACCTAGCCCTCCCATCCCTCCCACCCCCCACCACTCCAGCAATCCTCAGTTTATTTCCTGAGATTAAGAGTCTCTTATGGTTTGTCTCCCTCTCTGGTTTTGTCTTGTTTCATTTTTTCCTCCCTTCCCCTATGATCCTCTGTCTTGTTTTTCAAATTCCTCGTATCAGTGAGGTCATATGATAATTGTCTTAATGACTTATTTCATTTAGCGTAATATCTTCTAGTTCCATCCACGTTGTTGCAAATGGCGAGATTTCATTTTTTTGATGGCTGTGTAATATTCCATTGTGTATATATACCACATCTTCTTTATCCATTCATCTGTTGATGGACATCTAGGCTCTTTCCATAGTTTGGCTATTGTGGACATTGCTGCTATAAACATTGGGGTGCACGTGCCCCTTTGGATCACTACATTTGTATCTTTGGGGTAAATACCCAGTAGTGCAATTGCTGGGTCATAGGGTAGCTCCATTTTCAACTTTTTGAGGAACCTCCATACTCAGCGGCTTTTTTTTTTTTTTTAAGATTTTATTTATTTATTTGACAGAGAGAGAGACAGCGAGAGAGGGAACACAAGCAGGGGGAGTGGGAGAGGGAGAAGCAGGCTTCCCCGTGGAGCAGGGAGCCTGGTGTGGGGCTAGATCCCAGGACCCTGGGATCATGACCTGAGCCGAAGGCAGACGCTTAATGACTGAGCCACCCAGGTGCCCCTCAGCAGCTTTTTTTTTTTAATGACATGTATCATTATTGTAACTTATTTATGTGTTCACCTTTGGTTCTTTCTCTACACCTTAAGCTTTGTAACCTGTTCAGAGCTGTATCTCTAACACTTAGAATTTTTCTGGCTCATAATAGGAATGCAAGAACTATTTCTTGGATGAATGGATCAGAATTACCTGTGAGTATTGCAGAAATGATTTCCAGATCTTAGCCAAGACCTACTTGAATTAGAATGTTTCAGGGTGATATCCCAGAAATCTGTATTTTCAATGCCTGAGAAATCTGTATTTTTAGAACCTTCCCCAGTGATTTTGACACAAGTGGACATTTTCTCGAATCTCACTACTTATCCCTAGTTCTTAGGACGAAGTCCTGGATCCTTAGTTTGGAGATCCCCTTTGGCACTTCCAACTCAGCATGCCAAAAGTAAAACATCTTCCCCCAAGAACCTGCTTCTCAAGGCTTGGTCCTTAGCTAAGTCCTGTCCACTCCTCCAGCCTTCTGTCCTACCAATTCTCTCCTCTCACTATGTTTAAGTTACAAAGGTGTTTTTTCCCTCTGTTCTCAGGTGCACCTAGCCTTTTCCCACCTCAAGTTCTTGCACCTACTCTTCCTTCTTCCTGGAATGTTTCCCCTCTTCTCCACCTGGTGGGTCCTTCTCATCTTTCAGGACCCATCCCTCATGTGCTACCTCCTGAGAAAGTCCTTCCCTGACCATCTAAAGTATGGTCTTCTTTTTTTTTTTAGTTTTTAAAAGATTTTATTTATTTATTTGTCAGTGAGAGAGAGAACGGCAGGCAGAGGGAGAAGCAGACTGCATGCTGTGTAGGGAGTCGGATGTGGGACTCCATCCCAGGACCCTGGAATCATGACCTGAGCCGAAGGCAGACTCTTTTTTTTTTTTATTATGTTATGTTAGTCACCATACATTACATCATTAGTTTTTGATCTAGTGTTCCCTGATTCATTGTTTGCGTATAACACCCAGTGCTCCGTGCAATACGTGTCCTCCTTAATACCCATCACTGGGCTAGCCCATCCCCCCACCCCACCCCCCTCTAAAACCCTGTTTGTTTCTCAGAGTCTATAGTCTCTCATGGTTCGTCTCCCCCTCCAATTCCCCCCCTTCATTTTTCCCTTCCTACTATCTTCTTTTTCTTTTTTTAAACATATATTATTTGTTTCAGGGGTACAGGTCTGTGATTCATCAGTCTTACACAATTCACAGCGCTCACCATAGTACATGCCCTCCCCAGTGTCCATCACCCAGCCACCCCATCCCTCTCACCCCCCACCACTCCAGCAACTCTCAGTTTGTTTCCTGAGATTAAGAGTCTCTTATGGTTTGTCTCCCTCTCTGGTTTTGTCTTGTTTCATTTTTCCCTCCCTTCCCCTATGATCCTCTGTCTTGTTTCTCAAATTCCTTGTATCAGTGAGATCATATGATACTTGTCTTTCTCTGATTGACTTATTTCGCTTAGCATAATACTCTCTAGTTCCATCCACATCGTTGCAAATGGCAAGATTTCATTTTTTGATGGCTGCATAATATTCCATTGTATATATATATACCACATCTTCTTTATCTGTTCATCTGTTGATGGACATCTTGGCTCTTTCTATAGTTTGGCTATTGTGGACATTGCTGCTGTAAACGTTGGGGTGCACGTACCCCTTTGGATCACTACATTTGTATCTCTGGGGTAAATACCCAGTAATGCAATTGCTGGATCATAGGGTAGCTCTATTTTCAACTTTTTGAGGAACCTCCATACTCTTTTCCAGAGTGGCTTCACCAGCTTGCATTCCCACCAACAGTTTAGGAGGGTTCCCCTTTCTCTGCATCCTCTCCAACATCTGTTGTTTCCTGACTTGTTAATTTTAGCCATTCTGACTGGTGTGAGGTGGTATCTCATTGAGGTTTTGATTTATATTTCCCTAATCCGAAGGCAGACTCTTAACTGACCGAGCCACCCAGGTGTCCTAAAGTATGGTCCTCTTATTCTCTATCCCATTCATTACCTTCTTTATTTCCTTCATCACAGTTATCACAACCAGAAACTGTCTTTGTTTATTTTGTTTACTGTTTTCTGTCTTACCCACTAGAAGGTAAACTCACAAAAGCAGAGATTTTTTCCCCCTATGGTTCACTGCAGTGTCTTCTGCGCCTAGAATAGTTCCTGGCCCCTAGTAGGTGCTCTGTAGATACTCGTTGGATTAATATACTGTGCATTTAGTTATCTAAATTGGGAACTCTTTCCTTCAACCTGTACATCAACAATCATCAAACCCTACTGACTGCATGGCCATATATGACTCTTCACTCTGTCCTCTTTTTCCCTTCCCCAGGGCTAGTGTTACGATTGCAGCTCTTATCAACAGTGCAAAGGCTCAGCGGGTGCTGTCTGAGCCATGTTTGTGGTCTGGGGCTGGTGAATTTAGTGGGCGTGGCTAAGCCCAAGGTATGGGTACCAAATGGAATTTTGCTGATTCAAGGTCATGAACTGTACTGCTCATGCCAACCCACTTGTGCCATCTAGGGAGATACAAAAGAAGGGGTTGTTG